TTTAAGTCAGCTGTGTTGTCCTTTTGGCAATTCCTGAACTAGCACATGCATCTCCTGGTATGTGTACGCTTCAAGAAGAGATTGGCACCATAGCTGTGACTGGGCCAAAGTCAGCTGATTTGGGCTCATGGGACTTGTGCTTAGGCTGTGTGGCTAAAAAAGTCAGGGTAGATGTTCAGTCTCATACTAAAACCTGGGCTCTGAAACTCCACAATCAGGTTGCTCTCTGAACCCTAGTTCCAGGCCAACCCCAAACGCTACATCTTAATTTTTAGCCTTACAGCCTGAGCCCCACAAATGTGAGTCAGGTTCTGAGACTCAGCGCTATGGGATTTGTACTACAATGTCAACCTTCCCAAAGTGTTCTCAGCCAAGATCTTAAATGTGAGTCAGGTTCTGAGACTCAGCACTATGGGATTTGTACTACAATGTCGACCTTCCCAAAGGGAAGATCTTTGTTCTCAGCCAAGATCTCACCTATGTAAGATCAGCTCCCTCTGAGAATCTACCATGCCTTCAGGGAATGATGTAAGTCTTTTAACTAATTAGAGTTGAACAAGAGCCTGCTGTAGAACAGTAATTGTAGTAAATCATCCTTCTTTGATGTTTTGTGTTTCTTTTTAATTACGATAATGTACCCAGGGACAATAGCGGTGGATGTCATGGAAATATTTAACTAAGAGCCTCTGGGGGCAGAGAGTCTGTTTTACAAATCTAGGGACATGTCAAGCACTCCCCCACTCACTTCATCTGCTTATGGAAAGCCACTTGCAAATGTAGCTTATAAATGACTGACTTGCATAGTATCCTATGCTACATCTCTGTTACACTGATTTGCAAATGCTATGCCTCCAGCAATGTAAGAAAGACAGCCTGGTATCTTTGTTAATCTCCAGTGCCTCTTTTTATGTACTTATTCTTGCTAGAGCTATAAAACACAAATTCTTGCTTTTGGCAAAATTAGAGTGAGGAAAAATTTCTCATCACATTTTGATGAGAAAAACCAAAACTATTTTCATTCAGGCCTCATATCTGCTTTTGGGAAACATGAGGCAGGTTAAAAGCTAGTTTTGCACAAAAAAGTGTGGAATCACTTTGGTGGGGGGAAAAAGCAACATTTTTTAAATTCATAATTTTGCCTTTGGAAGGAAGTTTGCCATTTTTCCAGCAAAAAAGAAGTAGGTGAAAAACTTTGTCTTGAATCAAATTAATGAGTACACAGATAAAAAACTGTTGTGTACCTTCTCATAACTGTTGTTCTTCAAGTTGTGTTGTTCATTACTAAAAATGCGTGACCATTCTGCCAGCTAAACTAATAGAGATCCACTTTCTTGACACTACAGTACAATGAAATGATGGACAGATTTCTATCACCCTATACCAGAAACCTACCAACTGCTACACTTACCTTCATGCCTCTAGCTTCCATCCCAGACACATTTCCCAATCTGTTGTATATAGCCAAGCCCTAAAATACAACCGGATTTGCTCCAATCCCACACACAGAGACAAACATGTACCATCTTGTTAGTCATTAAAGTGCTGCATAGTCCTGTCTTTTGTTTCAGCTACACCAGACTAACACGGCTGCATCTCTATCAAGATTTATATAGAGCATTCATAAAACTGAAATATTCATCCGGAGAAGTGAAAAAACAGATTGACAGAACCAAAAAAGTACCCAGACAAGAACTACTTCAAGACAGGCCAAAAAGAGAAAACAACAGAATTCCATTTGTCATAATCTACAGTCCACAATTTAAACCCCTCCAACACATTATCAACAATCTACAACCTATTCTGGAAAATGACTCATCACTCTCAAAGGCCTTGGGGAAAAGGACAGTCCTCGCTTACAGACAACCCCTAGCCTCAAACAAATTCTTTCCAATAACCATGCACCACACTTCCATCATAATCATCCAGGAACCCACCCCTTCAATCAGCCCTGGTGCCAACTCTCCCTACACATCTACACTAGCAATTTCATCACTGGACCCAAGCACATCAGCCACCAAATCAGAGGCTCATTTAACTGTACATCCACTAATGTGATCTCTATGCCATCAAATGCCAACAATTCCCCACTGCCATGTATATTGGCCAAACTGGACAATCTCTACAGGAAAGAATTAATGGACACAAATCAGATATCCAAAAAGGCAACACACAAAAACCTGCTGGAGAACACTTTAATCTACTTGGACACTCATTAATGGATCTCAAAGTCACCGTTTTGTTCCAGGCCAATTCCACAAGCCAAATACACAGAGAAGGATTGGAACTTAACTTCATTTACAAGTTTAATTCTCATCCAAATAGTATGAACAAAGGACAGTGTCTGACTCACACACTACCTTCCATATCCTATGACTTAACCTACAAACCAAACAATGGAGGTGCTAACTGTTTTTATCAGCCTGTTGTAACTATTTGAACCATCTGCTCACCATCTCTCTCTTTTTATTTTTTTTCCTCCTTTCCCCCTCCTTTTTTCTCTTTTTTTCTCTCCCCCTCCCCTTCCCTTATTTATTCTTGGATCTGGACTTCTAATACTCCTGTCATTTGAAGACGTGGGTTGCACACACAAAAGCTCACAACATCATCTACATGTTTTGTTAGTCTTTAAGGTGCTACTAGTCTATTTGTTGTTTTTTTAAGTTTTTGAAGGGAATAATGTAGTCCTAAATCTGCATAAGAGATGTGTAACCAGCAGCTGTAATTTTCTCTTATTCCTTGTTAGGCAATAGCACAATCAGAACAGAAACTTAAAAAATCAGACATAACATAGTAAGTGAAATAATGTTCCTAAATAACGTAAGGAGGCATTTGTTTAACCATAGCATGGACTCTGGCGCATTGGAATATTGGGATTTAAGAGGGCTGACAGCAGCAAAACAAGCTCTAAAAATGAGGAGGTAAATATTAAGATACCCTTAAGTAGACAAGAATTTACAAGACTGGTCACAAAAGAGCTTGCAAACAATGACAAAAACTATGGACTAAGGAAATAACAGGATAAAGTATGGTATATACTAAAGAGTTGAAGGTAATACTGATCTCCACAGTCATAGAAAAAGTAGTCATTTTTTAGAGTGTTAGCAGATCTTTGTGCCTTAAATGATACATTGAGCTTATTAAAAGACACAAAGATGGGCCAGGTAAAACAGGCAAAACCAATGAAACTGCTGATCATCTTCTATAGCTGGGGTGGGCAAGATGCAGCCTTTTGATCTGGCCTGCCCTGCAGAGACCCAGAGGCAGGGTCTCTGCCTGCTGCAACCTGAAGCTGCTTAAAAGAGCTGGTAGCTCCCTCAAGGCATTGTGCACCCTTGACGGGGAGGGCAGCACATTTCACACACTGCCCCTGCCCCAGCCCTCTGACACGCTGAAGCCTGGAAGCAAGGGCACCATCCTGTGAATTTGTACAAGACCCTGCTTTCAGTCCTGGCTTTTCCTGGTTCAGAGTGAAAAATTCTCATTCGAAGGAGACAGGGTCACAAACTTGTTTCTCCTGAATGAGGCTATTCACACAGCACAGTGAATAGCATGATCTAACCCTGTGGACTCTTAACTCCTTGCTTCTTTTCCAAGCATGTGGGATCAATGTGATATAAATAGGATTTGTTGTTTTTTCCAGCAGGGATTGGCAACAATAAACTAGCATAATAAACTGCCCAGGCTCCTTACTAACCTGTTCTAGCCAGCACTTGTAAAATCAGCAACATATTGCAAAGGCAGCTGGAAGGACATGTCTCTGCAATGCCAGGTCCAAAGGTAACAGTTTTTGTTTGGTGGGTGTAAAATAAGAAGAAAAGAGGGGAAACGGGCAACAGTGAAATCTGAAGAGGATTCGTTACAAAACTGTGCTCACTTTGAAGTTTGATTATATCCTGAACATAATAAAAAATTACTGTGGGTTGTTCCATAATTCTTCTTGCCATCATGATACAAACTCAAAAACAAAACAGAGCAATGTTTCACCCACCCCCACGATCTCTAATGGCCGGTGCACAAACAGCCTGAGATTTCAAAAAAACTACTATTGGCACTTCTGCCTCTCCCATCACCAGCAACAGTACAGATACAAGAATTAGATGACACCTCTCTTGATAATAGAAGAGGCTAAACAGAATCCTGCTCATGCCCTACTGCAATAATGGCTATGCAGGGCTCATGGCAGTGCAAACTGCTTTGTGCCGATTGTCTTAGTAGATGATGTGACTTGATGACATTCAAGGTGTTGGCCCGGTGAGTGACAATGCCCTTTTGTTAATTAATTTGTTTACATCTGCATTTTTAATCCGTGTAGCATAAACAAAAAGTAACCAATGCAATGTCAATCTGTTGTGTACCATCTTGTATGATTGACCCTCCAACTTCAAATGAAAATTAATTTAAGGGGTCACTAAAGAAAACTGTCTCAACAACTAACTTTTGGGGGGAGCAAATCACATATGAGAGGAAGAATCTTTTGGCAGTTATCAGTAAATAAATTAAAAGAAACATTAAAAGAAAACCAGATGCTGGAAAGTGAAAAAGAGTAATTAGAGTGAGCGAGCACTGCAGAGCATTTTACAGCATCAACAACTGTGGGGCCTTCCATCTGATGTTTATTAAAAGAATGGGACACACACAATCCCTCAGTTTGTCCCTTACAGAAAGGAATGTTTCAAGATGGTTAAAATGACTTTAGCAAAGTACTGTTTACAGAGGTCTTGACTCTAAGCTCTCCAAACTAGTGAATGTACAATTCAATGTGTTGTGGAAAACTATATAAAGAAAAGTGGGAAATTAACAGTCTGGACAAAAGCAACATTTTAAAATGGTTCCCCTTACAATTTTCTGTCCATGTTTTCCTGAGGGAGGAGAAGAAAAATGCAGCTTTCCTTTGAAGAATTGTCTTTATTTGGGAGATTCAATTCATTTATTAAATTGGGAAGCAGAGGGACTTTAACCTTAGGAGGCAATGTTCATAACAACCCCATCATAGCACTTGCCTGCACTTGTTATAAAGAAGTGGTTTTTGCAGCGAGAACGTGCAAAGCCTGCACAGACCAATGAAGGCCAGAATCAGCTGGCACTGAGACTCCCTCTTGTCCACCTTGTTTCAAAGTGCTGGGATTTAGAGGATGATACTGTGTAAATTGGGTAGAGGGAGTTGTTTCCCATTCTTCATGGGATCCTAGGAAGACTGTGTGTGCTCTGCACCTGTTAAAAGATACCAAGGACTGTATTAGGGAATCTGATTAGTAATGAAAATCCAACTGGTTTCTAAAAGGGGATGTGTGGGAGGAGCAAAAAGGGTCACATTCCCCTCCCCAGGTGCTTGGGAGGGGGCACATTCAGCAGGGAACCACAGCAGCAAAAGAAGCAGAACGTGGGGCCACTAGGCAGCCCATGCTAGCAGCTCCTCTGGCACAGCTTTATCAGTTCTGTGCCAAGCCCCATCCTCTAGTGGGGCTGTACATGCCCCAGGAGATGCAGCTGAATGGAAGGGCTGGGGATGGTACAGCTGGGCCAAAGTAGGTGTTGGTGTGAGGCTGCCTGGCATCACCATTTTCTGCTCCATTCTTTCACTGCCATGGCTCCAGAATGCTCTGCAGTTCAGCAATCCGTATCCAGCATAGTAGGAGGACAGCGGCCCTGCTCCGGGTAATGTGCGATAGGGAAGGGATGGGGAGAGCACGGGGCCAATGCTGGGCAGGGAGGAGTCATGTGGGGGTCACATGCCCCCTTTGTGTCCCTCCCACAAGTCACATCCGGATGGTTCTGCTTTAGGCAGCCAATGTACCAATGTAGCATCACTCAAAGTAAATATGGAGTCTTGGTTCTGGACAGACAATGGAAAAGCTCCAGGAAACAGTTCTTCATGATGGCAAGTCGAAATATCAATATCATTGCAGAACAAGACTCTAAACATTCAGCATATGTGATTGAAAGCATGCAAGTGTTTGGAAGAGCATTTAACAGATCGATGGATTTTTAAGGCCAGAAACATAATTATCACCAACTAGTCTGATCTCTTCTACAACACAATCCTAAGAATTTCTCCCCATGATTCCTAGAGCTCTACATGAAGCTCTTACCATGCACAGCTCTCTGCCTTAACTGGCTCTAGCTCTCTCCTTCTCCTCCCCATTTCACCCATGCTGCCTGCTTCCATGGACTAGAGCTAGAGAGTTACTTAAGGCTGCTACTGATCCCTTATCAGATTATCGCATGCACAACGTGATGGGATTGTTTGGTCCATTTCTCTCGGCATCATCTTTAAGGTGCAGCCTTGTAGGCCAGCTCCTCCTTAGTCCACCTAGGAAGACACTCAGCAACTCCTCAATCATATCCTTCTGTTGTCTTTTTAAATGCAAAAGATCACTGTGATCTTTGATGGTCCCTGGGATTCGGTCGTTGTTAATAAATGGAGGAAGAAGACAGCTGTTTCCTTCCTGAAAATCCTCTCTCATGAGACTTGAACTGGACTCCTGTGTAATACTCTATGAAGCCAATAGAGAAAGGAGGGTTACCTAATCTGTGCAGTCATAACTCTGGAAGTGTTGGGGTTATGCTTTGTTGTGACTTTAACTTAACTCCATTAATCTGGAATTAACTGAAATGAATGCAATAGCATATTATCCTCTCCAAAACGAATTCAAAATAGCTCCCAAAATTATAGGAAACGGAGGCAACCTCCAAAAAACTTGGAAGTAAACCAGCAAATATACGTGTTGGCACCACTGGGTACCCTCCAGAAGGCACAATTTCTCCAAGCAGCCATATTACAAGTGCTTAATAACATGTGCATGGAAACCTCATAGTCAATCACCTATTGGTATCCACTTAAAAGAGTCACTAACCACTTTGCTTTTTCCTTTGTCTTCTGCAGCACACCACAGCCAGAACCACCACAATGAAAAGTAGGGCGAGAGCCACTGCAGTCACCAACCAAGGAACTGAAAACTCCTGACCTGTGGAAAATAAAATCAAACAAAGCAACTTCAGATACATGACAGAGTGGAGAGGGCATTGAGAGGAACTGGGCAATAGTGTGCTCTTTCCATTTCGGTCATCATCACTACTGCTGTTTGGGTTAAATAAGAGCAGAAATTATCCGAGTACATTTGAGAACACACATATCAAAGTACCAGTGGTGCCCATCTTCACCAATCTCTGCCCCCTGCAACATTCTCTGTTTCCATATTCTTTGCAAAAATCCAGCCAGCAAGGTGTAACCAGACACATTCCCCCAGCAGGGCTCCCTCTAATTTTTCCCATCCCTGAGAAGAATGAGTTGAGTTTTGTGCACCAATACAGAGGCAGTGTCTGACACATCACTTGTGTATTGCTGCACATACAAAATTCATATAGTGGGGCGGAGGGCGGGGGCAGGTGGTTCGTACGGTGGGAGGGAGGTCAGGCCTGGGGCAGAGGGTTGGGGTGCAAGGATGTGAGAGCTCTGACGAAAGGTGGGGGCTCTAGGGTGGGGATGGTGATGAGGGCAGGGACTGAAGGTTGGGGTGCAAGAGTTCCAGCGAAGGCCATGGGGTGGGGCCAGGTTTGGAAGAGGTTTTGGGTGAAGGAATCTTCCTGGCTCTCTCTCCATGCCCTCGGTTGCAGAGTCACCTCTCCGCGCCCTGCCAGGGCTGAGGTGCACTGGCCATGGCAAGGCCGGGCCCAGGGGTATACAGCTGCAGCAAGAGCAGAGCCTCTAGGACCAGGCTGCCTACATCAGGGTCTGGGTGAGGGCCAGACTGCCAGGGCCAGGGCTACCCTGGCTGTGGAAGGCTGGAGGGTGGGCTAGGGTGGAGACTGGGGTAGAGTGGCTCTCCCCTTGCTGTCACAGGTCCCTGCCCTCCATGCCCCACACAGGGATGTTAGGAAGCGAATAATTAGCTAGTTGTGTAGTTGATAGAATTTCTGTCGACGACATGATCAGTAAATAAGGGAGGAAGCTTCAGTCCCAGCTCACGCTGAGTCTGGGAGCTACCCCCCACTGCAGCTCTGCAGTTTAAATGTAGTAAGAGCTGGGCAGGCAGGAAACATGGGTCCTGCTACATTTAAACTGCAGGAAGCTCCAGTGGGGGAAGCTCCCAGACACGGTGCCAGACAGGACTGAGCCAGGCTTGCTCAATCCTGGTTCAATCCGGGCCCAGCAGCCCCTGACCAACGTGGGTCCCAATGGAACCTGCCCCCGCCCTCCCGTTAAGGATGGGGCTGCTGCTGAAGCAGCCTGTGTTGGCAGCCAGCTTAGGCCACTGCGGACAGGGGCTGCTTCGCGGCAGCCTCCCCTGTCCCACTCCCCGTGCTGCTGCCTGACATGTTACCAGAGTTTACGGGAAGCAGCCAGGTCACTGCTGCGCCCTGGGGGGGTAGGAGCCATGTGAGGGGTCAAATAGAAGCTCACTTTCTTCTGATTCCATATATGCTATTCATGTAATTATGTAATGTCTGCGTGTGAAGTGATAAGCATGTACTTTGTGTGGATACAAAATCTTTCTCTGTATGTGGTTGAGCGATGAGCTCGCCCTATGGACATGCTAATTAGCAAGGCTCCAGGGACAATAGGTCTCTTAAGTACCAGAGACCCACTTATGAAGGAATCTAGGTGCCTAGTCAGAGACCTGTGACTCTCTCCAGCTTGGAAGAAGCCAGGAGGGGATATACATAGGCCATGTGGCCGACTCCATTTTGGTCTTCAGATCTGCTCCTCACCCGAGATGTGGCCTCGCAGGGAATCACGAGCCGGAAAGAACTGTGGACCCATCCTGACATAGGATGTACACCAAAGACTTTTAAGCCAGCAGTTATAACATCTCTGCTGCGAGCCTGCATTGAGAACTGGGAGATTCGATGCATGTAATGTATGATACTTTAACAACCTTACTCTCATGATTTTCTTTCTCTTAGTAATAAACCTTTAGATTTTAGATTCTAAAGGATTGGCTCAGCGTGATTTGTGGGTAAGATCCAGGCTGGTTTCTTGGAACCGGACAGAACTTGTTCAGGGAAGGTGAGATTGGGTTCTAAAACCCCTCACCTATGTATGAGGTCCGGAGCCATCTGGGACATGGATATCATTGTGGTGTCAAAGGGATTTTGCTCGTGAGGCTTCTGGCTGGCCAAGCAGGCAGCTGAAGTGCTCTGTGGGACTGGTTTGTGGCCTATTTGGAAAGGTCTCCAGTCTGTGGGCTGTAAAGAGCCCCGAATTTTAGCAATTCACCCAGAGCTGATGCCCTCAGCGGTGCCCAAACCCGGCCTGGTCCATCACACTGCCTCTGATAGAAAGCAGCAGAGTGGGGGAGGGAGGAGTCAGGCGGCATCACGAAGATAGTGTTGGAGGACCAATTTTTAAGCCCACTTCTCCCTCCCTCCGCCCAGCACCAGCTCCTGCTTCCTTCCCTCC